AATTGTATAGACCTAACATCACATTATGGTTATAACTTTGAATAAAAACGAAAACCGATATTCACCTGATACTTCAATTTTATCAACTTAGTTTAGTACAAAAATATTATATATTTTTTTTCTTTATTTAATAAATAAAAAAAAAACAACAAAAAGTCCAAAGTGGATATTCCGGGAATTTGATGTAAAAGGTAATTAAATCTACATATTTTATCATCATGTATGATACATACATATTACAGAAATATTATTTTATACGACCTTTCTGCGACAAAATTTGACCCCTCGAGACCGTCTCGTGGGATCTCAAGACGTATACCTAATATTAAGATACTCATATTATATTATTAATGTCATGCATGCATACGAATATAAATGTATATTACTAGACATCTCGTCCTTTCAACTGTCTAATCATTTGTTTTTTTCTGTTAGATTCTTTGATGCGACGACGGTCGAATACGAACGAATCGGACTTATACACGTATTACTAATACTAATGTGCATTCGTATCACAACGTCAAATGTGCAAAAGTGACCTACCTAGTACCTATGTCCTATGAATAGAATCTATGCATTATAGATAATTAAATCGTCTACACTCGGAACCGTCATCGTCTGTTAGATTAATCTAAAATCGAGAAAATCGAATTTCGGGGTAATTATGTTTATATTTAATTGTCTCCGTTTCCAATGGTTTGATTAGCATTAAAGTATTAACATATTCTACTTAAAGTAGTTTGGTTATAATATTATAGGCACGTGAAATATACGATTCGGAAAATGTAAAATCATCGAAATAATGAAATATGCACGATGTATATGAGTGTATTGTCAAAATACACGTTGTATTGAGACGAAGAATCGACCGCTTTTACATGTTAAAAATGATTTAATTATAATAACAAAAAAATCCTTTATCAATAACGTCAGTAAAATTAATCGAATTATTGTCACGTCACCAACGTTCGATTTTTCGAATGTCATGAAAATCATTTTTTTATAAAAAAACTTTAAGTATTTTTATCATTTATTTATCACTATACCAACATGCATAGGGCTAATGTATAGACATTATAAATAGGTAGACAAGATTGTACACCTCATTTAAACTACAGCTTTATAGTCAAGCTCTTAAAAAATATGCGTAATGAACAAATTATATATTACAAACTATAAATATTAAAATTAACCTATATTAGAAATCTTGAACCAAAAATATTAGGTTTAAAATTGTATGCATAGTGATATGAATAATAATAATAATAGATTTAAAATATTATAATAGCACAGCGAATAAAGAAATTAGTCAAAATTGGTGTCAATCTACGTTTAAAATACAATTTTTAAACCGATTAATATTACAACAATCATTATGTATTAATGATTAAATTAAGCGTCCATCAAAGCGAATTTCCACAATTTAAACAACTTTTATTTTCAATATTAATTAAAATTTTTGTTAAAATTATATTCAAGTTTTTTTTAAATATAGTGTTGTAAGTTATAGGAACATCCCTTTTGGGAAATACATTTTTTTTGTAACACTATAAACTACTATTTTCGAAAAAAAATATCATGATAATTGTGTAAGTAGATTCGCAATATTATTACAGAAATATATAGTTGTTTGTGGCATTATGTTTGACCGCGTAGGCGATTTTTTTAATCTCAATACCTCCAATTTCAAATCGCATCTCTTATTTCACTTGATAAACTTGATAAATAGGTAATTTATATAGGCGATACAATATTATTAATAAATAGTGTTTTTTTTTATTTTTCATTCGTTTTACAATAAAGATTGCACATAGGATGTTTATCATGTCAATAATTATACATATAACTTATTTTTTGTGTATCCGAAAACCTTAAAATCGTAAATTTGGCACATATGTGGTTTTAGCGTCAACGACGTAAATAACAATAAAATCAAGCGTAAAAAATCACCTTTTTTATATACGTAGTATGTTTTCGTATTATGTAAGTTTAACCGAAATCAAACATTTACTTTATATGATAAATTTACTATTAAGGTAGGTAAATTTAAAAAAAGATATTTTCTGACTTTGACACGTTCGACACTTTTTTCCGCTGTTATACATTCCAAAAAAACTTATACGATTATTTTCAATAAACCCCATATTTTATTGAAAGCATTATTCAATCGAGTATTTATATACCTAGCCACATATCGTTAATCTCATGATGTGATTTTTCACTCACTCCAGAACGGTAAAATATTATTTCGCCAGCACAATAAGTAAGTTTCCAAGTCACATATTATTTTATGGATTTTAACAAAGCACTATAAACGAACAGCGAATATCAACAGATTCGACACCGTAAAATAATACGTCTGGTGCAGTTAATACAATAAATCAATAAAAATAAAAAGAAATCGGCCGGTTTAACAATGAATAGGCATAGAATCAATTAAATCACTGTTTCAATAAAGGGTATATTTAAAGAGGGTTATATTTTTAAAATAAATCAAACTTAAAATACGAACCTAGAATTAAAAAGATTTTCCTCGCCGTTTTATTAGTCGGTGCCTACATATACACTGAATTGAGAAATTCGGAATGACATCTTAAACACCATTCCTGTATTATATTTTCTTCATCTCAATTAGAGGAGATTTGCAAGATGAGTCGTTTTTTATACTCGCGAGCTAAAACAGATCTCTTAAGTCTTAAGTCACCCGCTTAATCCTCTAGTCTGACAGGCACTTGGATAATATTGCAAAACTAATATAATATTTAGTTAGTTAAGTAGTTATTTGAATATTTGAATTATTCGCGTCTCTGGTTTAACTGAGGTCTTATTGTTAATCACAGACGCTACAAATCTTATAATTAATGTTTAATTAAACATTTGAGACTTTTTTGGTAGTTGTGTATATTTTATATAACATACACTATACAATAGGTTGAAGTAATATTGAATAATACAAATGAATAACCTTTTATTTGAATCGAAATATTTCTTTTAAAATTAACAATAATGTTAAAATTATGCCAGCAAAATACATCTCAAATCTATAATATAACTGATAATTTGTATATCCTATAAGAATTTTAAAATTAATAACTTATGAAATATACAGTCTAAAATTTACATAAAATTATGTTTAATACTGAGAGTAGCGAAGAATTTATTGATTTCACTAGGTATACTGTGCGTTTTATTTTTTTCTGGATGTAAAACTAAATAATTTTCGACCAGAAATATTGCTTTAATCGAAAAATTACATGTGACCTTTTTAGTTGATTTTGGATTTAGTTGGTAGTTATTAAGTTATTTTTTAATTGTCCAAGCAGTTTTCATAATAATTGGGAAATCTGAAAAACTGACAAATATACGGCGTATAATTTCACTATTATAAATTTGTATTGTTTATGTTTTCTACCATAAACATTGATTTAATTTTTAAAAAAACCAGACATCTCTTTTTGTTGCATTCAGATGTGATTGATGAGTAACAAATTCGTTTTTTTTTTTTTAAATTTCCTTATAGTTTTTTTTTAATAATTGAACAAAACTGGAAAAGAACAGGGAAACGTACAGGAATAATGTTTGATTAGGATGAATTATAAGGATAAACAAAGTTGTAATGGCTTTTTTAATTTTTAATTGTATTTGTTTATTATAGTTCAGTTAAAAATATTCAAAATGGCATAAAATTTGACGAGAAACTTATTCTCTAAACAAGGTACAATTTTAAAAATATTCTGTAAAGGTGTAACAGTCGAACTATGATAGAAATACATGAAATACATTCCAGTTTTTAAGGCCTTTTCCCACGAACATGGATAAGTATTCACCTAAAGTTTAATGGTTACGCTCTAAACTACATTACTCTACGGGTGATAAGACGTAGTGGGTGTTTTCATGATCTTTAGCAGTTTGTCAACCTTCCTGAATGCCTTCATCTATTTAATATGTTTTATATACTGGAGGTAAACGCTATTGGTAAATCATTTCCAATAGGGCATTGGGAGGGGGTGCAAATTTAATTTCGTAATTACTAGTTTCGCAAGTTAGATTGAATGTCTACGCAAAATCAGGATATTGAAGGATGGAAGTATGAGACCATAGCTCTTAATTTTTCAAATTATTGTTAAAGAGATCGTTCCGCCTGATTGGGATGTCTTAGATCCACAATAATGTAAGATGTTTAATCATCTGTCCGTAATTTTGACAAATCATCAGTAAGCCAATAAGCAAGAAACAATTTCACTTTTTTGAGTTTCATTGCAATGAAAAAATATTGAAAACAATTAATTTTCTGATGGTCTGGTCTCATTGCGTTGTCAGTCATGAGATGGTCCAGGTAAGTCACTTTTTTCACACTTAAATGGTTGTAGTTTCAGATTATTCTATCGAAGTATCAGGGAAATTTCAGGAAATTCAAGTCTTGTGCCTACATCACCAAGATACATAAAAACATTTACATCGTAAAAGTTATGCTCATATCTTATTCACCAGTATATTTGGAGCCATGGGTTAGAATCCCACCGCTGCCACCAAAATTTGTATAAATTTGATCGAACCGAAAAATAAACTGATACCTTAAGATAGGTGTGCTACTGTTCTAGGTGAGAAGTCGGGAAGGTAAGGTACATTAAGAAATTATTTAATTTATACTTGTAAGCAATTGATAAATCATTGCTAACAAAAAACGATTTCAAAAGAGATTCGGTTAGGTATACTTGTTTTTAAAGACAAAAATATTTGCGATTTTTGTCAATATTTGATTTGAACTTTTATATACAAAAAAATTGTTTTTACCCCTAACCACGGCTTTTTACATTGAATCTCCTGTAATATTTTCAAGCATTTCTGTTTAGTTAAGCAATTTTATCTAAAATATATCTACCAAATAAAAATTACGAAAATAAATTAAAATGTATGCAAATAAAAATGTCTAAAAAATTTGATTTACTTTCTTATTTACTTAATACTTTTATTTACTCTAGTAAAATAATTGAATAGACATTATATATTTTTTTAAATTAAATTTGTTTAATATTGTACCAATTTGTCCATGTTTTTTCCCGGTGGTGTTTCACATTTTCTGTGAAAACTCTTGGTAAAATCAAAAAACCACCTCACTAAAATACCTTCCCAGTCCGATTTCCTTTTAGAAATTTTGGTTCGCTTAATCTCTATAAAACCATAAGCTTCTTCGCTCCGTTCTGAATCTAAAATACAAAACCGCACATCAAAGTAAACTAATAAATCCCTCGTGATGCTCCGAAGCTAAACATTTTTTAAAATAGATAAAATCATAACCTCAAACATGAAGTGTACAAAACCGTAAGTGTATAAAATATACAGAGATTTTGTTTTTTTATGTAACTTAAAGTCTCTGTGGCATGACCTAGTGGTGAATGGTTTATTTTTAATTAAAAGAGAAATTATTAGATTAAATCGAAAGATCAAATAAATATTGTAATGATATGCTATTTAAGCTATCATACATTATGTAAAATAAAATATTATGTAATGTAAATAAATCAAACAATTAATAACGGAAATGATAGTTAAACATTTACACCCGATGCCATTCTTTTTTCTTATCAAATAACATATATTTTAGTGCGATATATACTCATCGTAAGGAGATAATACTTAAGCTATCATATATAATTAAAATAAATTATATAATCAATATTGTAAAATAATTATAATAATTTGTAGCCATTAATTATTAGATTAAGTTGTTAGTATTAACCAGATTAAGATAACACATTTACACACGCACACACACATAGATCTCCAGTTATAAGGAGGCCGGCCACTTCTAATCCTACACAGTGTTTGTATTGTTCCCGTTGCTTTTGGACAGATGATCACAAGCGAGTGTAAAAGACTACGCAGAGATTCTTACAAAAGCACGGGAACCTAGAACAGTGTTTTATATTTTAAAAATTAATAAAAAAGAAACAGTTGTTGTATTAAAATCTTTTTATTTACTACGGTCACCTTTATCAAATTCAACAGATCAATTTGCCGCCTGAAGAAGAAAGGTAATCAAATTTATAATTAACTTACACGTGTGAATATATTTTATATAATTAGGCTCCCCGTCATATTTTTGAATTACAACAATATATCCAAAGTATCTGCAGTTTATCACAAAATTTAGATTTCCTTTTAGTTAACTGTTCCAGTGTTTATTTTATAATATGTTTATTACAATAAATATTTTACCCTAAAGCAACTACTAGAATAAGTAAGTAATAAATATAATATTAAATAAATCAACTGTTATAAAATTAAAACTAATAATCTTGCTTGTGATAATCTATAATAATGAGGATTGAAATTAAAATTTATATCAATATAAATATGTTAATTTATTTATATTTATATTACTTATTCATTATTTTATTTATATTCATTCGATAAGGTCGATTAGAAAAATATCCCTAATTTTAAAATCGTTAAGAAAAATTCTCATAAAATATATTTTATTTAAATTTTAATTTTAATTCACCGAATAAATTATATTTATAACTCAGTATATCTTATGAATAGTTACTAATTGTGCGAGCAGCGTAAAATGTTTTAGTCCACAAAACACCCTGGTCTTCCAAACTCAAATTAATTATGTTATAGCTAAATAAACCATTATATAAAATTATGGATGCAAACGTTTTCATTCCAAATTTGCTTTCGATCGTTTTGATCCTTTAGGTATATCGTACACCTTATTATATTAATTCAATTATACCTTGGTACAACCACCGATAACGACTAGATTTCAAATTTTTCAGGAACAATAAAAACAATATACGTTTTTATTCGTATTTCTCTATTTGTTATGCCAAAATATGGTTAGAAATATTCAACAGTGTCACGGCAAATTTGACATTTTTGAGAGACAAAATATTGGCCCACTTACCCGCCCTTACCATCTTCCCATACTCAAAAATTAAAAAAAAAAAATCTATTACCATAATTGCAATTAAAGATAGGATCTGAGGCTTAAATTTAATGTTTGTATAAAATTCAGAAAACTGTCATATTTTTTTACAAGTAAGTATATAATATAACTATTATATACTTTACGATATCATAATAAATGTTATAAATCCAAATATTCTACTGAATTTTTAACTGTTTTTATTGTATCGTTAAACTTATTCGTTGCATATCTTTGATATGCATGTATGACTTACTTTGATAATCTCACATGTATCAATAAAATTATATTTTCACTATTTAGGTAGCCCATGATCCCAAGATAAATGCTAAGCGAGACAATATTACAATTACACTGTTGCGTCATTAAATGAAACTATCTTACAAATTACAAAAGGAAATATAATAAAACAACTTCAAAAAAATACAATAATTGTTTTGGTTCTCTTCATAACATGTACCATGATCGATACACAAAAGGTTCTGGAACTCCGAACGTTTTTATACAAGTAAAAATAAAAGAGTTAGTAAAAATGTTTGTCAAGTGCGATAAGTAAAAATATTCATACGATTTGCAGGATATTTCGTAAAAGGTTACCTTTAACAAATTGGCCGAAAATTCAATAAATTTGCCGACAATAATTTCGATATCGACTAGTCACGTTTCTTTTTGAAAACAAATTTGTTAATTACTTTAGAATATGTTCTTCCATCAAAAATTTTCAATTTTTTATGAGACCAGTTTTATTGATGACCCGGGAAAAAACATCAATCAATCATTCAAAAAGTGCTACACATCTATGATGTTATTCTGCTGTTGTAAAAATAAAAAGCAACTGTATTTATATATGAGGCAATGATAACATAAGTAAATACTAAAGAAATACCATATAAGCTGTTAGGTATTACATTCGTGGGCACTTACCATCGAATATTTAAAATAGTAGATATTTGTATTGAACAATACAAAGATATAATTGCTCTTCTCTCTGAACATAATACCATTTGAACCCACCCCTAAATCATCAAAACATTATAGACACAATTATCACTCAAATAAGCGTTCACCACTTGACTTATCAGGAGTATTATCAGTTTGTATTTGTATTGTATCTGTTTAATTCATTTGTTAAGCCCAAAACAAAGAATTCTTTTCTATAAAATATGCCATTAAAAATGGTTCAAGAAAAAAAAGAAATTGGAATTATGTGGTTGTTATACCGTAAATAATTTGCACAGAAGTAAAAGGGTTTAAAGAATTTGTATTGTCATAATAATAAAACACCATTAAAAAATGAATCCAAAAAATTAAAAATCTCAATTCTCTAATGTTATAAAAAATATATTTTCCCCGGCGTTTATTTCCTGTTAGTTTATACATATTATTATTATTATTAGTTTTGAAATTTTAAATCAAATTAGTACCACAGCTCTAGTTAAATTAATTATTATATTATTAATCTTGTGTGTTTTTTTGTTCAATTTATTAGAGTATATACGATAGTATATAAAAATCCATTAAATAAATCAAAAATATATCAATGCGATCATATCGCGTGATCAGATTTCTTTTATTACATTAAGAAAAAAAAATACACACATATATATAATACATACATATATATCGGTATATCGTTTCCAATATCTCTACGGTCCAACGATGCTATAAACTAAAAACGAAGATAATAACTCATATTGTGAAGACATTTTGTTGAATCTACTTATGTACATAATGATACACGACAATGACTGCTGAAACGAAATTCCTAAAAAATACAAATGTAGACGGTAAAGTTTTCTGATCTTTTAATATACCAAAGCAAATGATATATACGTCATTATAGCAGGTGTATACGGTTTCATATCTGTTTGGCACGAGGACAAGAATGGGTATTATTATTGGACTCATAAGTTCAAACGAGGTTTGGCGACTTGCGATTCAACTTTTAATAACATCCGTTACGTTAAAGCCGAGAATGATTCGCGGAGTTGCATCAAATATTTTACGACAACGCAAACTACTAAAGGTACAACAAACGACTTTGATGACTCCTGGTTTTAAAATCTATTATGAATGATAAGATTAACAAAGCTGCAGATCCAAAGAAGTTATAGGTATAATAATCTTATTAAGGTCAGGACGATTGCCATAATGGAGAAACGATTGCGAAAACTAATAGTGGCACGTTGGAAAAACGGAAGTTTATGGTTCATAATTCGTATGGCCTTTTTTTTTAAAAAAAAAAAAAACTCAAAACCAATAATTTTGTTGTTTTTGATTTTGATTTTTTTTTTTCATAGAAAACTAAATTAGAGAACATCCGGGAAATAAACCGTTAGGTACGTATATACATTTTTCCTGTAGTTTTTGTTTGCGTTTTGTGTTTACGCGAGTCCTAATTAAAAATTACATTGAGAAAGGTCGTTTTAAGTTGTTAGGTACGTTTTGTTTGTTTGTTATCCGTCGTTATTGACTTTGTCAATTCAGATCCTTTTTGTTTTTAATTAAACAGATATTTTAATTGTTTAGTCCTTACTACTGTATGTGAGTCTTTTTTTTTTTATATACTATCAGGATTTCGTCAATGAAAAACATTTTAACGGTCGATTGTCTTCTTTACAACGCTTTAATGGCATAAAATATTCACACCAATAATATGCAATCAAACTTGATGAACAATTCAAAATCCGATTATTAATCGTTCTGTTCTCTTTTGTAACACCTAGAAAACATTATTACGAAAAACCGCAGTACAAAAACAATTTTTAAAAAATCTATACTTTTGCTAGAAAACTGTTTTCGCATACATCGACAAATATTACGCAAAACTACGTGATTTGTACGATTTTCGTCATAAATTGAACTTAAAACTTTCTAAAAAAATTACTACATTACACTTAAAATTCTCGGTTTAAACACACAACACGATGGATAAACTCGTACTAGATTTAAACATCAAATACGCTGTATAATATATTATTATAACCGCGTCGAGTTAAAGCCTATTATACACGAATTCGGCTTTTCGAATTTACTTAAAACAACAGCATAAAATAATATATAAATACCCATCTTTAATACCATCTAAAAGTTTTGAAACAATGTTGATAAGCATATATATGCATAAACACGTTCAGAATAACAATATTATGAAGCATAATGATAATGACAAAAAGAAAAGAAACTTAGTTAATTATATAAATATTATTTAAAAAAAATCTGAGAACTCGTTCCAATAAAATATAATTCCAATAGAAAAATGCATTGTTTATCTAGTTGGTAAGTATCTAAGGCGGTTTTTTTCATTTTCTGTGTGGTTTCTTAACAACTGACAAACTTGAAAAAAAAACGTACAAAAAACGAGAAAATTAACGGGAAATTAATCTAGGTCAAGTCTTAGTGCGATGATATAAAATACAATTGCAACTATTACTTTTCTAATCGGGTTAGTGTCGACGTGTTGGAACTCTGCCCTATTGCATGACTCGTATTCTTGGTCCTTGGGTGTCTGCTAGACTGAACTCCCTTGCCCTTTGGACAGGTCTCCTTATATGTTACCTTCATTCGTCACCATGGGTGCGTATCGTAGGGGATGGTTGACACACCCACAATTGTATTGAGCACGTTGCGGTTGTCTCGACCAGACACGTTCCTTCGTGGCCCATCGATATATGACGTACGCCGTTACGAGGAAAAGTTTTTGTAAAAATTGTACGATCGGCTTAGTATTAACGGCCCTTACGTGTCTCTACTTAATTTAATAACCGTTTCGCTTGTTTCGACTGAATTATTTAAGAACGTTGCATTTGTCGATTAATTTATTATGTACAGTATCCGCAACATCTCATTGAACTAAATAAAGACTTAACAAATTTGAAAATATCAAATATTTCAATAGTCATCAAAATATTTTAGCAATTTCACTACACCTATTCGTAAAATACTATTATTAGAAATCTGTGGATTCTTTAGGTCTCTAATATTATTTTTTGAATGACAACAAACGAACTAAATCGAAAATTATGAAACTGCAGGTATCGCTGTATAAGTTCTCGTTTTCCTGAATTTCTTAATTATTAAGAAAATTACAAGAAAAATCAAAAAATAACCTCTCAGTACGTCTTTTTGTGATATGGATAACTAATATTTTCTGTCGTATTTTTCTTTAATACATTTATAAGAGAGTCCTAAATATTCCTTATAATATGCAAAAATGTGCAATATTTAGAAATAATAACTACGTTTACATTTATCTTTGAACAGTGAACATTCAAGTAAAACCGTTCGAGTATACGCAACGATGAAAACCAAGAAGTTAGTATACGCAGTATACGCACTTTTTATTAAATCCAATAGCACTGTCTTGTCTACAAATAGAAAAGAAACATAAAAAAATAAAGACAACCCTCCCCCGTCTTAACGGTAAATTGTGTCGTTACAAACCAATCAAGAAAAAAACATAGATACTTAATACTTTTTACAGACTTCGTCACGATGACGTGGATTTTAAATGAAATTTGACAGTACGTACAAATTTACCTATGTTCTATTTACCTTAGATTCTAAGTAAGGTTGGTCTTACATGATTTTTATTTATTTATTTGTTTCTTTTATCTTTCAACAACTTTTCTACCAGGAATATTGCTCCGATTTACAAGTGTAGCACTTTATCTAAAAGGAAATCTGACTGGAGAGGTACTTTAAAGATGTCATATTTTGATATTCTCAAGAGTTTTTCTAAGACATGGGAAAAATCAGGAAATAAAATGAGAAAACCGGAAGAACGGGAAAATAGGTACCATATTAAATAGATAAAGAAATAAAGAAAATGTTTAATGCACATATAATTTTATCATAGTATGACATATATATTGTTGACAAAGTAATACTATCAACTGAACTATGCTCAGAATCGTTCTTAGGTTATCAATGGTTAATCATTGCTTACATTAAATTCCCGTCTGTATCCTACCTTCCCAACTTCCCACCAACAACAGTGGCTGCACCCACGTGCAAAATATGTCCTTCTTTTTATTTATTGGTATTATTATTATTATTATTATATTCAATAAACACATTCCGAAATTAATACATAAGTAAATACCAACTAAGCAAGTGCCTCTATATGTCGATCAACGATTCCGCAACGACGACAAAGCTTTATCTTTTAACTAAAAATAAATACATTTTAACGTTATAGTAGAACATTTGCGTATGCTGCAAAGGAAATCATTATACTCGCAGTGATATGAGACGAGTTGCACATAGCACACAGGCGGAAATTCCTTTGATCCTTTAATGGTGAAACAAACAAGGATATATTAAACGATCTAGATTACATCTTAGAACCTTATATTATGAATAAATGATTATGGTTACAATATGATATCATCAGTATTTTGTTTATAAATAAACCGCAAAAAACAAACATTTTTATTCCCGGAGACTAATACGCTACATATACACATTCAAAATTATTTTGTTAAACAATATTATGTTATATTATACTTTTCGAAATATTAAGAAATTAAATCGATATTTACATGGTATAAACTTAAAATATTTACTAAGTTTTATACGTATAGCTTAATAAAAATGTTGAGGCTTTGATAAAATAATTTATAAGGCCATAAAAATTAATTTACAGTGAATGAGCTGTTTAGTTACCAATTTAAATACAAAAACCATCATATTTTAATAAGTAAAATATCTTAACCTATATTTGCTTCAAAAATATATTGTGGTCTCATAAATCGTTTTATTAAATAATCAAGCACACACCTACTTTTAATCTTATTAATTTTGATAACACAATATACAAACCAGTAATAACATAAAAAAAAATGTCCAACAAATTAATATGAAATTGTATTAGATTAACAAAACAAAATATTTCAAATTCTTGTTAGAGTTTTTAATGAAAAAAAAAAATTAAAAAAAAAACCATTAACAATAATGTTAATCAACCATAATAGTATCGTAAAATTAAATGTATTATTTTTATTAATGTGTAAATTTAAAATTGATAGGATTAGATCACTATAATTTAATGGTCTTCTTTCCGGCCAACTGTCCAGAGTTTCTATATTAAAAGCCGGAAATTACCAACCCTATAAAATATAAAACCAAAAATAATAAAACTTTTAACAAAATCGAAAGATTGAGTTCACGAAATCATCGTAACACACTTAAACTAGATAATATAATATTTAAGTCCTTATTTGATCACGTTTAATTAGATCTAATCTAATTAACTTAACCAACAATATTATTATCATATTCAAAAGTATTGTGCTGTATCGAACATAAAATAGTTTTTAAAAGGCCGAAACGTTTAGTTTTACAATAATATAAATTTTATAATTATTGTAAAGTGAAAACATATTTATATAACCCAAATATTCGATATCATTCATATTAATAAATAAACGATTCGAATAGTTAGGCCGTGTTTGGAAAGCCGACTGTAAATTAATAAATAATGCATTGATGGATGTTATTGCAGCCCGATGTATGGCAAACTTAGGGGACAACGGATCGTTCTACACAGAATATGATAGTGTAATCTGATGAAAAACTGTGAGGGCAGCGTCGTAGCGATGGTTCTTAATATACCCCCAAGCTGAGTAGAAGATATATATTAAAGTATCTAAACACACTACATAATTTGATCGGTGCAACATCGTCTGATCAAATCAGGTGTAACGTACACATTTGTTCCACTTTTATATTATGGTTTTGTGAAATAACGGTTTCATAACTATCGATTGTGTTATTTGGTTGTAATTCAGCTAAAAATAATAGCAAGGGCTTGAAATGATTCGAAATGCTTTAAACTTAACTTAGTCTTTTCTTGAATCTTTAAAAACTTTATGGCAGTTTTTGAGCTATTTATACATATTTGCCATTTTCGAGTTTTTTAATTTTAATTTAGATTTTTATGAATATTTCATTTTTTGGTAGAAGTGCTTGTACATTTTATGTTAAGTTAATCATAGGTTGTACTTAGTGGTAAAGTAATTAGCGTAATATAATAGTTTTTAATTAGCTTTTTAAAGTTTATTATTATTTAGAAATACGTGTTAAAAATAATTTAATCTTAAGTACATATGCAAATATTCCTTGTAATTACGGTTAAGTAATGTAGCACTTGAACGAAGATAATTGTAATGTATTAACGTACTTATTTATATAATCTGAAAATGAAATTTATTCTTAAAACGTGGAACAGAAATGGATATTTTTATTAGTTTGTTTTATTACGTTAAGTATGTAGTTATAAATAAGTGTTTTAAAAAAACTGAAAACATAATTAATGAAAGGTCGATAATTATTTTTTTAGAAAGATTAAAACTTATAATAATCTTAACAAATAATTTAATACTTAATGCGGTTATTGATGAAAAAACTAATGATAAAAAAAACCGTATTCATGTAAATTCGTATTGAAAATCAGACGTTCCGTACATGTTACACCTGTAACTTTATACTCTGTTAATTTCAATCCTTGTTCTAAAACAATACAAACAATAACGAAAAAGAAATGGCACTTGTCTGAAGAATTTAACAGGGAAAATTTGATCGGTAATAAAGTAGGAAAAAAGAAAACATTTTGTCTATTAGACGTCAGCAAATTATTAGTAGACGAAGTTCAACGAACTAATTCATAACAGGGTGACTATTTTACAAAAATATAGCTATTTAATTTACTATTATTATTATTATTTTCTAAAATTTTAAACTATATATTACTCATAAACACTCGGATAATTAGTGAAATACATATGAAAATCTTTAAGAAAATACTTATTCACTTTTCTTATGAGAAAGACGGGTTTTCGAATTGGAGTAAGAGTAACATTTTAAACATATTGTAAATAAGATTACAAATCAAATTTATTCAAAATCTTCATAGTAAAAGAAAAAAACATAGTTATCAACAACTAGTTGAAAATTGTGGGTTCGTGATAAAAGCATCGACCTGTATATGTGTATTTTTTTTCTCGCTCTCCGTTGGGACATGCTATTTCATCACATCGAGATCTCCATCCTGATGCAACAACACAAAATAATAACAAAATGTTTTAACTGCACGCTGTTACTCTTAACTTAGATAATTGGGCGACTCTGTCAGTTTTAATTAAAAAACTTTAACTCGTTTTAATATATAATTCGTTTGATTGGACTCCGAATGTTTATTTTTTTAGTTTTTCCGTTTGGACGAGAACTTATTACCACAGGTTACATTTACATCGTTGTAAATTTATCAACCCTACAGCACGTTTTTGACTGTTGACCCGAAGAACTAAAAGTCAAATAATGCATAAAAACGCACCCGCGAGCCAGAATTGAAACGCGTGTGATAAAAAATGGTACACCATAATATAGATATGTGGTTTTAACCAGGGTAAGGCGTAAACCTTAAAATTGATCCACGATAGATCTTCTGTTTAAAATTAAAAAAATAAATTAAAATTTTATAATTAAATAGATAAATACATTTTACAGTTTAATATGGTTAACTGTTTTTAGCAAACTAGTTATCGAAAAATGCATTCAGTTATAAATCGATTTCAATAAACAAAATCTCCATAACTGCTTGTTCGTTAAACTTTTAACCAGATAACTCAAAACTTCAGAGTCAAATTACTCCTAATACAATAAGGTAAAGATATCTTTATGATTTTGGACCGGTAAACTATGAGGAAAAAAAAAGTTGTTGCAAATTGCAATAAACTGCAATAAATGCATAATTCTACATATTATTTGCGTAAAATATGAATTAAATGCATGTATATGAATATATTTTTTAATTTTATTAGCATAGTAAATGAATAAAATAATGCATATAACCGTAAAAATAAAATATGGATTCGGAATATATTTTTTATGTACTTACACGAGAAAAAATCATTACAAAGTTTAGTGGGTTGAGGTCAAAATAATAGTCGTAAATAAAAAACGTTTCAAAAATATTGTCATCGCGATACGTATAAAAATGTCAGATGAGTTTTTCTTGCAGGAGCTATACAGAGTTAATCGTAAAGCACCTGTTGAATAATTATATGTCATTTCCTCGGTAACCATAGGTGCATTCAAAATGAGTTTATAATTATACCTGCAATATAGTTACTATAGACGAAAAAAAAATTGAGTCCTTTGAATGCGTTCAATTTATTCCTTTTTATTTTTAGCTAAACTAACGAGATAATACTATTTTTTTATTACGGATGTTGCTTATACGTGTGAATAGTGTAGTGTTTTTTTTTTAAAAAAATTTTCATGACTAAAACTAACATCCCTTATATTTTGGTTATCATTTTATTTTAGAAATAATTTCTCATTTAACACTCACATGATGTTTGGTGACATGGTTTATCAGTTTATTTTCACAGAAAATTCAAAACGTATTGAGCTTTAGAAAAATAGACACAAATCTAAAGAAAAATGATATAAGGTACCATGGGAAGAAACAATTGCATTTCTTTTTATCACATGAGGCTTTAAGTGTATTTTATTGACCTGAAAAAAGTATTTTCCGAGAGAAAAAACACATATTGATAAAACTATATTAAAAAATAGCTACCCTCTCGTTCTTATCGGAATCGAAAATAATAACATGGTACTTTATGTGCCCGGTGTACAAGTTTAGTACTGGTTTTTGAGAAGAAAAAACCATAAAAGATACCGATCGTATCGTCTGTGAGAAAATGTCAAACATCTAAACCTAAGAAGCCCACCAATTACATTTATCCGGTATAGTATACTAACCTCGATTCCTTTTTCCTTGCCGGATCCACCACCTCCGTGAGAACTCTGCACCGTGTTCATGGCCGTCCGTTTTTATCTCATACCACGCGCAATGCCGCTAAAACAACGGCCTTTTTTTTTTCTTTTTTTTTTATTATTACCTAAGTAGGTATATTGTTAGTTATTAGGTATTGGCTGTTATGTGTTTGTTGTTGTTATCCGCGTCGTAATGCAATGATGCGACGATGATTTTAGTGACCCATACGACCTATCCCGTCACATCGCTATATCCCAAAATAGCAATTATGTTTTAGCGACGATACTGACAAATACCGGATTGTCCGTTTCACCTAGAAAAATCAACGTAAAAAAAAATACATATTATGGTTGGAGGTGAATGCACGAGGACTCGGCAAACTTGAACTTTACATTCGCACAAAAATGTTTTGGAGATCCGTACTCATAAAATGATACGCTATACAATATAACACGAAAAATAAATTGTATAGAAAATAAAATTAAATACCGGTAAGCACATACATTTACTCGCGCCATAGACGTATAAACATTAGACGATGAACTCGGAAAATCCGTCCTAATGCCTAAATTCAAGAAATAATCAAACGATTTATTAACTGTAAACTTAATTAATATCGTTTCTTGTACACATTTCAGTAGAATATAATGGAAGAATAACAAGCGCATCCATCTCAAATAACCGTGTATATATAATGTTATCCGTGTGTTGCATTTATAAATAAAAGATGGCAGTAGTGGGCTGGCAAAATTCGGTTGGAGGGAGAAAAAATGAATGTCGTTTAAAACTTTATATTGGTAAAAAATGTAAATAATTTACATTCACTCTGGAGCTTCTTCGTTGAAAACATTCTTAATATACATAATATTTTTAATAAGTATTTCACGCGATGAAAATGAAGCGTAGGTGTAGTTTTTTAAACGCTTCACCTCTATCCGATAGGTGAGCTAAATTAATTTTACAGTCCTAATTTTAATTTTTTTGATTTTTAACACTTATAATAATACATTCTAACTAAAAATGTTGACATTATATAACAAAACTTTTCAATATAAGATTTCAAAATAATTATATTTATAATTAAACATTTTCCACTTTCTACCGTAATAACATAATATTATACGTAAAACATTTAATTTCGATGTTTAATCAACTACTTATTTTTTTTTTCAATTCACGAAAATGGTAATTTTAAAAAGATGAAACGTTTTTTATACAAAACATATTTCATTTATAATATTTTTCCGCGGGACTTTTGCACAATTAAATTGGATTGCAAATATTATGCAAAATAACATTTCTTTGAATGTTTTAATTGGGTTGTTAATAAATACCTATCTATGTGACGATTTCATTGGTATTATTATTTCATCAAACGCGATGACGAAAAAGCGTAGTTCATTATCATTCGTCATTAATTAAAAAGGATGGAGAGCATGACAACATTCGAGTTAAATTATCTGTCACGCGATTTCCGAGCTACTTTTACGAGTACACAGAGGTCATCGAAGAGAACTTCCGTCGAATCCAAATCAGTGGAATCACGTCACTCACCGGCCTAAAAGTTTTAATAAGATAAAAAAAAAAACACGCTCTGGACTCGTTTATAACTTATCGAGTATTCTGTATGTGAATTTTATTACGCAGGTTCGTTTCCTATTAGATGCGAGTACCGTTTTATTATAGGTACTATTAGGTACTGAACATTTACCGGGATCCTCCGAATTATTCATCCATCCCTTACGGCTTACGTGAAGTGTAGTATGTATTACGAATTTTATACGCTGCAGGCAATCTCGGCAAATGAAATAATATCGTGTCGCCTTATGTATGCGATTAGTATAAGTACTGTTTATGACTTGTTTGTAATTTTCAACAAAAATCAATAATACACAATTAATTTACCTTAACTTTATTGTGATCGGGTTGTTGAGGTAATATATACTCATTAGGGAAAGGTTACATTAATTATCAAGTTGTTAATCCAATGGATAACGATAGTAATATGTGATTCTAAAACAATTATAGAACAAAACATCCAGTGGCTTAGCTGGAGGGAGGTGGTGTCTATGTTGTAACCGCTCATCCTATTGCTTTTTTTAACTTTAGCTAAGGTTGAGAAGGTTGTAGATACCTGAACCTCTCTAGACCCATCTGAAACTCAAATTGAAACCTTGAATACGACATAGCCAATATTTAAAACACTTCGTACAGTCATTCTGGAAAATCACAGTAATGATTATTTTGTATGAACTATGACTCATTTGCTGCACTACAAAATCCCAAATGTGTACCTGCCATCCTGCTATCTTTATTTTTACTATAGAAAAACCTCAAGGTTCCGTAGATGAAAGAAAGACAATTTTTTTTATACCTACCAAATTATAATACCCATGTGTATTTTACGGAAAGCCAGAGTAAAAATAGTCATTGCATGACTGAACATATTTGTTGGCGTATTATAATTAAAATTAATTTCCAAAAGATGGCAATTTATATTTTAATATTATTAAAAATATTAAAAAAAAATTTAAAACTCATTAAATTTTAATAATATTACTATACATGTTATATATGACGTGGTGTAGTGGTACAAAATAATTAATTAAAGGTACCGAATAATATGATCTTATTCCAACATTGACCAACTAAAATGTAGAGTAAAGAGCAAACCGTATACTATATGCATCCTGTCCACATAGCCATGTTTAAGTTTATATTTCTTATTATTATCGTAATTGGCCGCTTATTGCGGAAAAATAAAAATAATTAAAAAGTATTTCGTGTAAGTATAGGAATTTAGGGCGTACGTATAGAGTTTACATTCCAGCTTGTATATTATATTGCACATTAAGTAGTTTTCATTGTGGCCAGAGGACCGCAAAATTTCACTGGGAATAAGTGAACAGTTTCCGCGAGACATAATGAGGTACGCGGAAGTTTTGAGCCCGGTTCGTTTTATTTTATTTTTTTTTTTGTTTTCCGGTTACTTAAACCATCCTTTTTGGAACATTGAGTTCAAAAAACCTCTAGAGAAATGCGTAACAGATCAAAACGACTATAGGTATATCGACAAAATATGTAAACACTACGAACACTGCATATTATAATATATGAAATGATATAAGTAAAAAAATAAATAAAGTATAACATACAAAATCTCTCGTCGAAGCTATATAATATAATATTCAATCTAAAATATTTACTTTCTAGCGGAAAACTTAATAATTTCTCTATAGAAATACGCATACAGAGATATAAGTATTAGGCGGAATAAATTTAATTAAGTTTCAAATAAAAAAAAAAAAAAACTGATACTGATAACTGGTGTGCTACCATTTAAGGGGGGAAGTTGATAAAGTAGAATATATAATGTTATTTAATTTTTATATGTTTGCAACTATGCACTACTACTAAAGTATTACTAACGATTCTGAACGAAGTTTGATTATATATGTTTTAAAATACTGTTATTTTTACGATTTTCGTTCAAGTTTGATCTTAAATCATTTATAGAAATAAAATAATAACATGACCAACTTTCTTCTTTTTTTTTTTACTACAAAGTACAACTTATAATGAACCTTGTGTTGAATTGTCAAACATTTCTTAGTCAATTGATATAATCCACACACATAATACCTGTCATATACAAATTTAAGAA